CTGTATGCAAATGGCAGAGAATGTAGGGCAGGTGGAGCTGAACCCCGTCGCGAGGGGAGTCAAAGCGAAATGAAAACAGGGCTTTGAGATGAGATTAAATCGTGGAAAGGAGTCAGCATCTTTTGCATGGACAGGATCCATGCGGCAACTTGCATCATTGTTTTGTTGTGAATCTTTAATCGATGATGAAATACATATCGACCATTTCCTGGAAACGTCACGGACTGTATTGGGACGGGAAGTAAAACATGTGAAAAGGAGTCAAGGTTTGGCCACGATCGTGCTAAAGACTTCACTGACCTGACCGTGAACATTGTCCAGCCACAAGTATGATCCAATTTTCGATAATCCATACTTTTATTTTTATTTTTTTGCAAGACAGTTGCACAGTGATCCGTGTCTTCGGCTCATGTTAGGGACTGAAGTGTGTTCCTTTTGTATCCCGTTAAGAGAAGGCTTTGATCCTGCAGAATTGCCAGACAGAAGAGGTTCTCCATTTCTCATGTAATTCCGATTCGGAAAAATGGAAGAATAATGATATGCCGGTAATCTAGCTGTGAGGTGAAAAGACTATCAAGTTTTGGAAATGCGAATCCCAGAGTGGGCTGTTGAATAAGGGAAGGGGGCATCGGTACAATGAGTGAATGAACTCTAATCATTCCTCTAATGTTGGCCAGTTAAGCGCATTGTGGCCTGTGACACTGGTCACACCTCCATTTAAGAATCTTTGAACCATGTGAAAGGGTAATCATGGGTAAATTATCCCGTCTTAACCATCATTAAGACATGTACGAGAAAGTGTGTGTTCATCAGAATTATCAGCGCTGGGTGTTGAATGGTGGACTATAACCTCCCCAGACGGAGATGGACCATCCATCCATCCATCCATCCATCCATCCATCCATCCATTATCCAAACCGCTTATCCTACTGGGTCGCGGGGGGTCCGGAGCTGATCCCGGAAGCTATGGGCACGAGGCGGGTAATGATGAACCCAGGATGGGTCACCAACCCTTTGCAGGGCACACACACCATTCATACTCATTTATAATAATAATAATAATAATAATAATAATAATAATAATAATAATAATAGTACCAGTAGTAGTAGTATTTTCATTCTTAGAGCTAATTCATCACATGTACTTAGAGTAATTGAAAGCATTCACACAGCTACATATTTCAATGAAGGTTAGGTTCCCTGCTCAGGAATGCAGTAGCCGGTCCCCTCCTGCGACCGACGTGTCCTCAGTCACCATGCTACCTGTTGCCCTTTGATTTAACAGCCTCCCTGGAGGATATAGAGCCACTGGTCTATGGGATGTTGTCTCTTAGGAGCCACGCTTTCCACAGCGAGGGTCGAGTGTTTGTGGATAGTGCCTGTTTGTGATTGGGGCGGTTTCTGCAGTCGATGTACTTGGAGTGGCTGCTTTTATTCGTTTTTACGTCTGTGGGGGTGGGTGGTACAGAAATGATGTGAATTTCCAGCACACATACTGTGCCGATGGCAGGGGTGTTGGACGGCCTCTCCAACCATCAGCCCTGCTGTGTCTTGGCGCTAGTGATGCCCTTCAAAGAGATGCAGCTCACCATGGTAACCTCTGTCGCCACGGACACGCTCTTGAAAGTAACTGGCTGCTAGCCATAAACTTGCTATCTCATTGCCTCATCACTCCATTATGCCACCCGGGGGACCCAAGACGACATTACCGTCACTGCTAAAGTCATTTGCCAACTGTACGATGTTCCCCGATACTAATTGATGGAGGCAATAGATTATCTGGTGCAGTTGCCATAGCAATCGTTCTCCAAACATCCGATTTATGTACTCAGTTTGATTTATCAAATTTTTATACCTCGCTCACATTCCCCATGGCTTTATTCTTAAAAGATTAGTAGGTGGAGAATTAGACTGGAATCTGAGGGCGAATTGGTTTTACGTGGAAATACAGCGAATTCGATCTTTCTCCTGTGGGTGGGAAATACTTTGGAGATGGGGGACAAAAATACTGATATCCATGGGGTGAAATCTCGGCAGCTGAGAGCACTTTTTAGATGTTTCCTTGAGCTGCAGCTACAGCCACTGTTACTTATGCTATCACCTCCATGGTGTTTAACCCCCCCCCACCCCCCACCCCCGCTAACATCTCCACCACTGAGGTACTGCATACCCCCTGTGTTCTTTACACGTGCAAAGAATTGTCATTGGTCAGTGCATTTTTATATTCTCCTTCGATTTTGGCCAGTTGTATTGACCGTTTCCTGCAGAGGTCATATGCCTTGGTTGACCTGTCAGTCATCGTGTTGCATATGACCACATACGGGATGTTAATCAAAAATGCCCTGTTATAAGCTTTACCGTAAGGGTGCAAAAACTGAATATCAATCATTTGCCGTACAGACTTAGCTAATGATCGGGTTAATCGGGACTCCCCGGAGGTGTGCCACATGTGATTTACCCGCTGAAGTACGGTATTTTCACTTTCTTCTGATATTTACTGCCGAGTTTCCTTCAGTGAAACAATTCTCATCTTCCAGTTCACTAAACCGATTTCTCAAAGTGCTTAGAAGACTGAGCTCCAGTCTTCATTAATCAAAAGCATTAGAGCGACTGGGCTTCATGTGCCAGTGTGTGTGTGTGTGTGTGTGGGGGGGGGGGGGGGGGGGGGGGATTAGGTTCATATTACATTGTAGGGAACCAAATGTCCCCCACAATGTAATAAAAACCTGTTTTTTGACATCCCCACCAAGATCTATGAATGCAATCAAAAAAGTAAAAATGCCAAAAGTCTTGTATTTTGTTTGGTTACTTATGGTTAAGGTTATGGCTGGGTAGAGATTAAGGTCATCTTGTTGAGATTAGAGTTTTCCCAGTAGAAATGAATGAAGAGTCCCCACAGAGATATAATTACAAACGTGTGTGTGTGGGGGTAGAATTTCTGTGTGTGAGTTTGTACGCGAGCAGCCGGTCTTGTATATGATTGTCTGTGTGTTCATATGTATAGAATACAGTGGATTTTTGGGTGTGCATGTGAGTGCAGACAGAACAGAGATGTCAACTGATTCCATTTCGCAATAAGCAGAATTCTCAGGGGAGGTTATTGTTTGATTTGCTCATCTTTCTCTCAAATGCCATATTTAAGCCTGTCAATCTCGATTATCTCTTTCCAGCAAGATGAGGCCTTGGTGTCTCCAATTTAAATGGGGAAAAAAAGAGATGAAAATGTGATTCTTCTAGAGGTAGATCAGCAGTAGCATTTGCTACAGAGACACTACAATTTAGTCGATCTCAAGCCTGGTTCCCATAAATGCACGACTCGATGCTTAAATGATTAAACAAATTATAGCAAGCTAGCCATGCTAACAGATTCTCATCTGGCCCCCAAATCCTTAATTACTGTCATTTTTATTACTGCTACTGGGTCATGGGTGGACTTGGATGAGCATAAACTCTGAGCCAAATGTAGTGTGGGACCCTGTGAGTGTCTACAATAACCACGCAGCCTGCTGAGGTATTAAGACCAAAGTACCAGGTGGTCGGAAGAATCATTGTTTGAAGGGACTCGACTGAGAGTCTGGCATTCTATTTTCCATTGTGAAAAGTACATGCACCTGTGTCTTTGTCTCCTAGCAACGGGGTCGGAATCGACGCACCGTTGACGCTCTTGGTAGGTGTTTCGCGCCTTAGCTCTGGCCAGAAGCCGCTTTCATAAGTGATGAGGAGAAAGTGCATTCGGCTTCAGGGAATGAGTGTGATGTATCATGGTGGAGTTGGTGCAGAAGCTTTGGAGAGAGAACCAGTGCGGAGTGCACACAGATGGAGGTCGGAAGCCTCCTCCCTTAATCACAGCTACTTTCTGCTTTGTTCATGACATCGGCCCTTCCCTGAATGTCAGAATCAGAAACGTCACATCACATTGCAGCCCCGATCAAAGCTGTCCTGTTTCTCTAATTCCTTTTAACGAAAATCTCCCTCAAAGGATTTTTCATCTCAAGTTTCTGTTTTTTCGTCTCAGCGAATTCTTTTAATTAAAAGAGCAAATCTTTATTTATTAGATGACACCCCTGAGCAGAGACCCGTCATTTGATTATTTTAATTGAGCGGTAATCAATTTCTTCACAATGGCATCGGATTTTGGAGTATTAACGTGGAATCGGTGGGTGCGCGATTGAAAGGTGATTAGTGTGCTCCGGAGCTTGGAGTCAGATGAAAAGGATNTGGCATCGGATTTTGGAGTATTAACGTGGAATCGGTGGGTGCGCGATTGAAAGGTGATTAGTGTGCTCCGGAGCTTGGAGTCAGATGAAAAGGATCACAATCATGCTTTCAAAACACAAAAATAAAAGACCGCATCGGCATGAGACAGCAGGCTCTGCACAGGTGGTGTACACCAAAGCGAGCAGGTCTTGAATAAATGGATATAACAAAATGTAAAAGAAATGAGATACTCGGTTCTAAATATTCTTCGAAAAGCGTGGTTTGAAACTTTGGGTTTCACTTTTAGCCATGAACTACAGAACCTTATTAACATTAAGGATGCAGCAATTTATCAATCACAGCAAAATTACCTGCGAATAATTTAATGTAAACTGATACATCATTTCAAAAACAGCCTGAATTATATCTGTCCAGTTATATTTTTAAAACAAGTTTGAAGACATACTCAAATTATACAACCTAATTGTTTNATACATCATTTCAAAAACAGCCTGAATTATATCTGTCCAGTTATATTTTTAAAACAAGTTTGAAGACATACTCAAATTATACAACCTAATTGTTTAAACTGTCAAATTTTCCTTTGGGGTAATTAATGGGTTTTTGTTAATAAACAAAAGTATTTAATCAAGTCCAGGGCAAGAGTTACGGAAATGACAAAACTAACACTTAATGAAAGTGAATACGAAAGTTCAAACAAGGAGAACTAATGAATGCAAGCGTGTCCAACGATCCAGGTTTTGTATAAAGAGTAAGTCTAACCCACTTCCTTGACGTTACAGCTATTCAGTTCACCCACCACCTCCCCTCTCCCACCTTCGGCTCCCCGTCCTGGTCTGGGGTTTGGCTCCTTCACCTCCTGCCTGGTCGCCCAGCCAGATCTGTCTACTTCAGAGTCGAAGGAGCCGACGACCAAGAGACGGGCTTCACTGTTCACATGCTCATTTAAATTGTTTCATCAAATAAACACTCGTGTCGAAACTATCTATTGAGGTCTCCTTGGTTGAAATGTGATTAAAGTTAAAATAGTAGTGCATTATAACTTTAAAATTAACGCTGTGTGTTGCATCACTTATTAGAGGTACAAGCTGAATGTTTTATGCGAGTTCCGGAACCCAGTAACAGCCTTAACGATAGAGCAGGGTTCTTCAACTCTGGACCTCGATTCCAAATCCAGGCCGTGTTTTCAGTTCTCCCAGGTAGTTGTTTAATAATGACTGATTCTGATTGGTCAGAGGCTTCACACCTGACTGACAGGTAAAGAAAGGCTGGAAAACAAGCAGTGCTCGGACCTCGAGGACCGTGAGTTGAATAACCCTGCGATAGAGAGTAACCAAACTTTCGTAATCTAAGGAAGGTATGGGGATATGTCACAGAGCAGCATAGGCCGCTGACGAGGCCTTCTACATCCCTGTCGATTCAGGCCTGCAGCTCTGATGTACTTGCCGTCATTCGGAGACGGGATGGAAAGCTCCGACAGCTCCTTTGGTCTGCCTCATCCTGTCAGGACTCCTGCTTCTGGTCAGTCCCTGCCTGGGACTGATCCGGACCCAGGGCTGAAAGCCTGACGGGCAGGGCTTATCCGTGGGTGCTGTGACTCACTGATTCCCTCTCGCCGGTGGAGAGACGCATGGCCCCAAGCGGCAGGCCGAACGCACAATGTGCCAATGGCCGCGTAACGCCTGCCTGCTTCATTACCTTCTGCAGGACAGGGACTGCGGTGCGGAGGAACTATTTCTGAACAGGCGTTTTATATATTTACTTCGTCCGAGGTGCAGGGAGAGACGACTGGTACTCACTCATAAATCTGTTTACTACTAAGCCTGACTTTTCTCTGATGGCTAAATCTGATGGCTTACTCAACCCTTTTCCCGAAAGTCAGGTGACGAGGTGGTTGGATTCCCAGTTGGAACATAAGCAGATAGTATTAATATTAGTACTGCTGTCATACTCTATATACTGTATTTCTTTACTAGCTCTGCTGTGCTGAGTAGCATGATAGCATTTGTTCCCAAAGAGCCTTTAAGTAATTGGCTTTAATTACCTCTTTGCTGAACAGATTATGCTGTTTGGAGTGAACATTTTAGTCGAGGACTTCATATTGGTCTTTGTTCTTCTTGTACAACATTTTGTTAAATGAAGACAAAAAACTATTATTATCTGTCCTTATAAAATATATTTATACTGTTTAACTACCAAAATCTGAACATATATAATCATCCATCCATCCATCCATACAGCATAGGTCACGTTGTGATTGTAATTGTTGATTTTTTTTAACTATAATGTAAGAAATGTCCTTAGTAATCTTTAAACCATGACTTAGTAATCCTTATATCATTCCTGAAACATTGTTTTAATGATACCTTTAACTTCACTGATGTGAATTCAACAGTTAATAGAACCAGCAGCTCGAGGTTTAATTAAATCTCTGTGCGATGAAAACGAGCTGAACCTCTGACCCACAAAAGCCATACCCTGGTCGACAGAAGGACTGGGCAAATTGTCCGGCAGAGCAGAAATCCGGAGTTACTGGCTGGGTTTTAGAGCCGGTGAGTTAGCTCCAGCATGCTGATCTCCAGACCGGCCCATTTGCCCCTGGAATCGCACAGCTCCTCTCCTCGTGATGTCCATAGTGTGCGCCGGCCACATGTCCTCTCGTGTGATGTTCTTACCAAGACAAGAAATAAAAAAAAAATCTATAAATGCTCCCCTGGGGGCTCGAGCAGAGGGGTAATGTGACGGGACATTATGGCCCTGAGAGATTAATTTCGGCTTCTCCTCCATTACTCACTCTGTCATCTGCTTGCGTTGTGACTTCAAACCGCCGGGGAAAAATGCGGGGTGAAATTCATACTTTGGAATGTATTCTACCGCAGCGTTCATCATTAAATTGGAAAAGATACCAAAATCACCTTAACCTTGAATATCCAAGGGTGGGTGGGGTTGGGGGGGGGCGGGTTCCCATCCATAGGTAGTTTTACTGCCGTTAATAAAAGCTAGTTAACACTGAGTCACATAATGTCTCCCATGTCATACTAATTGGTTGGCAGGCACATCGCACCCCCTGTAATGGAACTCGGTGGAGTCCAAGGGATGTAGAAATAATGCCTTCCGGAAGAGTAATGCCTGCAAAGGGCTTCATGGAGGTTAAAAGCGTGATAGTTCTGGGAGCAGCCATCGCTGCTACTTCCTCAGCAAGCTGCCGTGTAGCTTAGTAAGCATATATGTCTGCATCAGGGTCATGATACCTTAAAAATGACACCGCATAGGGCAAGTCTTTGAATCTATAATCATTTTCAGATTGATACTGATCCGTACTATACTGAACTGCACTATACTACACTGTACTATACTAAATTTTTAATAATAAATTCTTAATACTCCTTGCCCTTGATTGCTGTATAGGTATGTTTGCATTGTGGTATAACTAGTACAAAGAGTCAAACGGTTACTACTAACTTAGATATTGGTTTTTGGAAAAGCTTGTGTGCACATGTTCAAACTAAAAGTGAACTGGCTGAAAAAGGCATGAAACAGAGGGCAAGTTTGTCACTAATGTATTCTATACTAAGACATTAACTTAAAGGTAAAGTAAATTAGATCAATGCTGGGATCCATTTCAAAGAGACTGGCATAAAGGCATGAGCTAGACGAACAACAGTTTATAAAATGCTGAGTGATGGAAAACATATTCTTTTAGATTTTTCCAAGCCGGGTTGAAAAGTTTCTATCTCCTCAGTCACTCTCTTTGACAGTTATATCTCATCTTCGGTCCTTCGTTACGGTATCTGGGCTACGCCAAGTTCGTTGGGGTGGGGGGACGACTTGGCAGGAAGCAGCAGCGGGCAGCATGGTGAGTAAAGGGGGTGTGGAGTTCCTGGGGAACCTAAAATGTTTGGTATCATAAATATCCAATCCTATAATAGGGGAAATTAGTTTTTTAGAATTTAGTAGATTAAAAACATTGGGTAAACCGCAGTTTCCCCTGCAGTCACCCTGTTTGGTTCAGCCCATCTCTCAGGCCATAACAAACAGCTGTTTTCCCTATTTCTTTTCTTTTTGTTTGCTTCATGTGTTTATTTGATTCAGGTCTGTGACATAATGCCACCCAGGCGAGGAAATCGCTCGCCGCGGCTTCGGCTGTGACACAAAACGGGGACCTGCTGCATGCAAGCAGCCCCAGTCCTCTTTAGCTGTCCATAATGGATAATGGCAGCGTGTTTTTCCCAAAACCCCGCTGGGAGAGGAGAGAGACGCCACTGCTGATTTTAGATGCATGGAACAGACCAAAGCAACGAATGGGGAAACGTTGCTAAAGAGTGCAGCGATTAAATGCTTTGTCCCTAAATAGAGACCTATTTATGAGAGACCTGGTTTGGAAATTCCTGCTGATTGTCAACTCAGGCCAGCAGAGGGACAGTCATAGTCCTGGGAATTTTACAGATGCACCACAAGTGATGAGATAGGTAAGGAGAGATGAGAATGACAGCCTCTTGCAGCTTTGTTTTTAACGTTACTGTCTTTTCCTGTCGCAAAGTGTGACATGGCTCATTCGCAGGAAGCTCCGCCAAGGTGAACCTGCACCTACGCTGCCCCAGTATGATTTGCGTTGCATGTATGTCGCATTGGACAAAAGCATCTCCTGAATACATAAATGTAAATGTGGTGGTTTCCATTTCCATACTAGGACCCTGATCTTGGCCAGGGGTCACTTTCTGCAGGGTCATGTTCCTTTTCCTTGATTGGGTAATCAGGTTGTCAGCTGATGAAAGTCTGCACTTTAATCTGCAGTTTTCGTCTTTGTTCCAGCAGGTTTCAGTATTTATTGTAAAAGGTCTGCTTCAGCATAGATCTATCCAATGGAAACTAGAGCTGTCACTCTGAAATAATTTCTTCTAGTTTTTGCAGTGTGCACGTAATATTCTGTATGTCTGTATCTACCAGTACAATTTGTGAAAAAAATTCCTGTAAAGGCTACTTTACTTCTAACAGATACTAAGTAAGTAGCTTGGGTGACACTGTTTCCTCACACATCCGTAGGTGGGGATTGGAATCCTGCTCCCTGAGTGTGGAGTTTGCATGTTCTCCCTGCTCAGTGTAGGTTTCTTCTCGGTTCTCTGCAAGAGGTTGACATTTCAGGTCCAGAAAATAAAGATCCAGACCAAGATTTTGTGTCAACCGACCAGTTGAGTACGAAGAATCACAGTCACAGAGTACTCAACTGGCCGGTAGAGGCAAAGTCTTGGTCTGGATTTTTACTCTCTGGATCTGAAGCTTCCAGCTCTGCTCTGCGCCCCAGCAACATAGTCATGTGAATTGGTGTCCCTGCCTTGCCCATGGTGTATTTGTGTAAGTAATGGATTATCATCCTGTCTAGGGGTGTTTTCCCGTCGTGCCACAAGATACACTCCCCAACCATCTAGTGCAATAGAGGTTTTGAAGATGGATGGATGGATGGATGGATGGAAGTAATAATAAATATAGCCGCCACTTGTGCTTTTCTTGCTATTAAGATTATTGCTGTTATTTCAGGTCTGTCAGTATATGGAAGCTATTAGCATTCTTAGTGCTTCAGCAAGTAGCGTAGCCCTGTGACCAGTTTGTAATTACATTTCTAAAGTCACCACGTACAGTTAACGCTCTGATCCAGATTCCCGATCATAATGGGAAAGAAAACAAATCCATTTTGATTCAGGAGCCCAGTTTGGCACGCCAGTGGAAAAACGAGCATTACTTTCTCATCTCTAAGCCCCTTATAGTGACCCAAAAGTCGCTCTTCACTGTTCCTCTCTTAGTTAGCTGTGACTATTTACTGAAAGAGTCAAACAAGTTTTCAACGGACTCTGCGTATGCCAGCACCTCGGGACATGGATAAGCGTGTTATCTGCTTTTAAGAAACTTCT